AAATAAATAAATAAATAAAAATAAAATAAAAAAGAGTATAAGACATTTTCATCAAATCAAACAAATATTTTTTAAAAGATTTATTTATTTATGCACATAAGAACTGAGGTACAGGCCAGAGGTGTGGGCATGAGGGGATCCACCAGAGATAGAGTGGGGAGAAGAATAGGCAGAATGACAGAAATACACTGCTGAAGGGAGCAGCGAGAGGTCTACCGCGCCGTGTGGGTCAATTCCCCAGAGAGGGACCGAACTCATAATGTGTTACAGTGACTGGGGATAGCTTCATAGTGCTGTTTTAACCTCTTGCACCACCAGGGAGGGCCCTAATCAAACAAATATTTCAATAATACCTGCTGGTTGAGGGGAAAAATCAAACCACAAAGGAGAATAAAAATGACTACTAAGCACCGTCATCCAAATAACTGCTGTCAGCTGTGATAAAGAATCACTGTAGCAGCTGTTTCCTGTTGTTATTCATTTTTATGTCCCACTTTTTCCAGCATAGTATCACAATTATTTTTCCACACCAACATTATTTTGTGACATTATTATTTTAACAATGGGATGTATTGTTGTTATACAGGATAATCACCCTTTATATGCATCCAAGGTTGTTTTCCTGGATAAGATGCTTACCTGTTTCTGGGTCAGGGACAACCTGCAAACCTCTTCTCAGGACAATGTATTAAGTGAAACAGATATTACAAAGGAAATGAATGTAGTGAGATACTATCAAAATATTTTTTTTTAATTTGTGAAATAGCCTTAACAGCATTTACTTATATTGAATGACAGTTACTTTGAAGCCAGACACAGTAGCACCAAGCACCACTGTTGGCATAATAGGATGCCTTGAATGAGCTCGAACCCCACTTCCCTGCCAAAGAGACCCCAGGCACTGAAGACTACAACTCCCATCATGCCATGGACCTGCCATAACTTTGACTTCCTAAGGGGAACCACTGAGAGCAAGAGGTGGAATTAAGCAGCCTTGCTTGGGAGAACAGGGAGGACTTGTAGGGCCCTGCTCAGGGAGTGTTTACAGTGGGAGGTGTTAACCATTTAATCTCATTGCCTGAGCTCCCCATCTTTTCATTTCCCTTCTATATAAAACTTCTGTTGGGGGCCCTCCCTGGTGGCGCAGCGGGTTAAAGCACAGCACGAGGAAGCTTAAGCCATTGCCGCATGAGTT